GTAAATTGAGAGCTTCGCTTTGAGACTCAGCTCCTTCTTCACCAAAACAGACCGGTACAATGACCGCATTACTGCGGACGCAGATGGATATCTGTCAACCTGCCGCTCCATTTTTCCCTCACTCGTGAACAAGACCCCGAGATACTTAAACTCCTCCACTTGAGGGAGCAACTCCCCCCCAACCTGGAGGGGGCAATCTACCTTTTTCCGACTGAGAACCATGGCTTCGGATTTGGAGGTGCTGATTCTCATCCCCGCCGCTTCGCACTCGGCTGTAAACCTCTCCAGTGCACGCTGTAAGTCTTGATTTGATTAAGCCAACAGGACCACATCATCAGCAAAAAGCAGAGACGATATCGTGCAGCCACCAAAACAGACACCCTCCGTTCCCTGGCTGCGCCTTGAAATTCTGTCCATGAAAATATTAAACAGAATCGGTGACAAAGGGCAGCCCTGGCGGAGTCCAACATGCACCAGAAACAGGTCTGACTTACAATGCGAACCAAGCTCCTGCTCCAGTCATACAGGGAACGAACAGCCTGCAGCAACGAGCCCTGAACCCATTATAGACTTTCCCAGGGAGGCTGAGGAGTGTGATTCCCCCTATAGTTGGAACACACCCTCTGGCCCCTTTCTTAAAAAAGAAACTCTGCCAGTCCAGAGGCACCGTTCCCGAACTCCACGCAATACCGCAGAGGCCTGTCAGCCAAGACAGCCCCACAACATCCAGAGACTTGAGAAACTCGGGGTAGATCTCATCTGCCTTGCCACCGTGGAGTTTTTTGACTACCTCAGCAACTTCAGCCAGGGTGATGGACGAGCTGTCCTCAATGTCCACAGTCTCCCTCGGGACCTGGTTGAAGCTCTGTCGGAGGTGGGAGTTGAAGACCTCTCTGACGGGGGCCTCTGCCAAACGTTCCCAACAGATCCTCACTATGCATTTGTGCCTGCCAGGTTTGTCCAGCCCTCTCCCCTGCCGTCGAATCCAACTCACCACCAGGTGGTGATCAGTCTGGCCGCTCAGCCCTCTCTTTACCCGTGTCCAAGACATATGACCGAAGATCAGAAGAAACGACTACAAAGTCGATTATCGACCTGCGACCTTTATGCTTGAACATGGTGTTCATTATTAGAGGTCTGCAAGCCCGTCGGATCCCAACGGGGTCCGTGCTGAATCCATTCACATGCTGAATCCATTCGGCCCGGGCTCGGGCAAATGTTTTTTTTCCTCACTATGCGTTTGGGCCTGCCAGGTCTGTCCAGCCTTCTCCCCTGCCATCGAATCCAACTCACCACCAGGTGGTGATCAGTCTGGCCGCTCAGCCCTCTCTTTACCCGTGTCCAAGACATATGACCGAAGATCAGAAGAAACGACTACAAAGTCGATTATCGACCTGCGACCTTTATGCTTGAACATGGTGTTCATTATTAGAGGTCTGCAAGCCCGTCGGATCCCAACGGGGTCCGTGCTGAATCCATTCACATGCTGAATCCATTCGGCCCGGGCTCGGGCAAATGTTTTTTTTTTTGACAGATCGGGCTCGGCTCGGACTTGGGCTCATTTAGCTTCTCTCCTTTTATTGTGCCCATAAACGCGCAGAGCACACT